ATAAAACTGTAGATAGTTTTTTTTATTAATTCCAAATGTAATAATTTCTTTCATCAACTAATAAAAGAACTAATTCTTATATTATGGACAATTTTCTTGCATTTTGAAAGGGAGAAAATACTAATTATTTCCTTATTTGCATTTTGCAAATCGTCATCACAGTAACTGCAAAGAAAGAAAGAAAAAAGATTAACAAGTCCATTTACAATAAAATCATGCAAACAGGACTCTTTAAAAAACAAAAAAAAAAGGTTACTCAAAAGCATGCTTCAAGATTTACTTGTAATAATTAATATTACATTAATGTAATGTTCAATTTAAAAAAACTATGAAAATCAAGGGCAATAACTGCAACAACAAAAAAAATTATTAAAAAGTAAATACTCTAATGGCATATAATACTCATAATAGAGACTCAATAGCAGTAACTGCTGTAAAAACAATCAAGTAACCAAATGGATTTGCAATACTAATATATTAAAGATTCATAATATCATATTAAAAATTCTGTAATTTAAAAATCATGTGGAACTCGGTAGCAATAACTGCCAAAAATACTGTGACATTACCACACTTAAAGTGAATAATCAAATATACAATTTGATTTTTTATATATATAAAAAAATATATGTGAAAACTCAGAGAAATAACTGTGAGAAAAAAAAAACAATTAAAACAGTTAAAGCATAGATTTACAATACCTGAACAAAGCATTAAAAAAAATAATTAGTTGAACGTGCGATTCAAACTCGGAATATCGGAATTTTTAAAAAAAAAATCAAGAAAATATTAACAGTAATTACTGAGCAACAAATCACATTGAGATTTTAAAAATCAAGTGAAAATTGTCAGCATTTCTTTCCTTCCCGGTATGTAGAAAAGGCAATCGTTTGTAAGTTTTACACAAAAAAAAACATGTTTTGAAAAATTCTAAATAACAGAGAACCAAAAATTTTTGTTTTAAAAATGAAAAATCTGCAAAAATCCGTAATGCTTGACGAAGATGTCGCAGTGATTCTGCCACAGGATTGTTATCAATCGCAAGAGGTTAATGCAATCCAAATCATTGTGTTCAGAAGTGATCAGATCAAGTGGAGACTACTGTATTAAGCTAATACAATAAAATAAATTTTTATACAAAATTATTATAAAAATGCAAAAAAAAAAAAAACTTATAAAACAGAAATTGCGAAAAAAATTTAACTTTAAAAAAAATAGAAGAAATGTATAAAATCTTGTTTTTGACATAGCTAATTTCAAGGAAAACTTCTTTCCCACATCATTGACAATGTTTCACATAAATTTTTATATTTCTTCAAGCTATTTTCAAACTGTTTGCCAATTAATAACAGTTGCTTTCCATTAATCCTTCCAGTCATATTACAATTACACATTGGAAAAGCTTTTTGTACATAAAAATTTACTAAAAAATTGAAAGGATTTCAATTATTTTGTTTGAATTGAAATTTTGAAGATATTTCAACGAATATTTGACAATTTTTATTTATAAATAGAAACATTATCTGTAATAAAAAAGAATTTCATCAATTTTTAAGTCTCTCAAAATGTTAATTCTACCACTAATTTATTGTGAAATCAGTCCTCAACCTTTTTCCTCAACTTACAAATTTGATCATAATATTTAATGTTAACAGTAGAACCAAGATTCTACACATTTCTCTGGAGTAAAATTTTTTTTACATTTCATAAAGAAATTCTTAATATAAAACAATGTAAAATTTAAATTCATGTTCATCTGAACTACTATTACAGCAATATTTAATTATAAAATTAAACAAGAATAACCTACTTTAAAATGCACAAGTAAAATTAATATAAAACGATGAATCTCTTTGCAAGGTGTTTACGTTAGATACTTTCTTAATCATGAATAGTGGATACTTCTCTATTTGCTGGGAACTTGAATTGTATTAATTGAAATTTTTTTTTTTACTAGGTTTTGGCATAAATTTGCTTAACATGCAAGAAATTAAAAAAAATTGTCCCAGAAAGGAATAACCACTCTTGCAGCAAGTCACTCCTTATATTAGCTTACAAAGAATTGACATGCAATTCTATTTTTAGATTTTGCCTCATTCTATGTGGGGTTCCCAGAAATCTGTGTCTAGCTGTTACCCAAACTTGATAGCTATTTTGTCACAGGATCTGACTGGGTACCCAACTAATGGAAGAATAATGAATAGTCAGAGCCGGATTATACCTTTCGTAGGCCCTAGGCACAGCCGTTTATGGGCCCCTCCCCTCCTTCCCCCAGTCCTCCCTTCTTTTCAAAATATATGCTAAAATTTTCTTCATATGGAAACGCATTACGCCATTTTAGATGTATTAATTTCAGAAATGACTAAAAGGCGTAAAGCCTACAGTGATTTGTACGATAATTTCGGTTTTTTTGTTTACAAAAATTTGTCAGAATCTGAGATTAAACTAAAAGCGCAAAATTTGGTGAAAATTTACTCATCCGATTTAGAGGAAAACTTTGTAGATGAATTTTTACTATTTTCAAATTTGTATGAACATAAATCTGCACAAGAAATGTTGAAGGCTCAAATTAAAGATAAACTTGTGAATACTTTTCCTAACGTTCACATTGCATTAAGAATATATTTGTCGATTCTTGGATCAAATGCAGAAGGAGAAAGATCTTTCTCCAGATTAAAATTGATAAAAAATTATTTGCGTTCAACAATGAATCAAGATCGTTTGGCATCGCTCGCACTTATGTCTATTGAATACGACATTTTGCGTAGTTTGGAATTCGACAGCATAATACAAGATTTCGTTGAATCCAAAAATCGCAAAAAAGTAATATATTAGATCATAAGATTCTGCAAAATAATTTATTACCGAAAAATATTATATTTTTATTTGTATCTTCATAATTTTGTGCAAAATACACTTGTTGTTTTTAAAGCTAAATTATTTTTGTCAACAAATTTTTTTCTCCCAAGTTTTTCGTAGGCCCTAGGCACGTGCCTAGTGTGCCTATAGGTTAATCCGGCCCTGTGAATAGTGAAATGTTTTGACAAACAATTTAACAGTTGAATTAGAAAACCATCGCAATATCGAAACAATGAACATGCATGTTAAAATATTCTATTTTACCAACTAGAACATGTCCACTGTTTTAAAATATGTAAGTCCATTTAGCTGGTGTTGAAACTAAATGGCTTTTATAGATAGAATCATATTTGAAATTCCACACTCCATAATAAATTAAATATCCACTTTCTTTGAAAGTAACTTTTACATATTTGTACATTAAATGATCAAAATATTGAATAAAGTACTTTTCTTTAACATTAAGAAAATACAAAATAAATAAAAAACTAAAAAATTTTAATGTAAAGCATGTATGTGACTTGTCTAAACTTAAATCACTGTTTAGGAAAAGGTAAATTTTAGAATGAAATAGGTACATACCATCGTCAATAATTCATAAAAAGATAATCCAGAGCTCTTTTAAGTACTCAAAATAAAAATATACTATAAATAGTTTACAATAGGTAAATATGATATTCTGTTGCTAAATTATAATTATTCAGACAGTATTACTACAAAAATATACAAAATATAGTATTAACAAATCTTAGTTAGCCATCAAAATTTATTTCAAAGAATTTTAATTAATCTGTATATAGTCGGTATATGGTCATTTAGGAAAATTTCCGTATCGGTCAAAATTCAGCAACTTCTAGGTAGAAATATCTTCAAGAAAATAAATTAAAAAAAAAAAAAACATAACAAAAGAAGACCAACTCTTAAAGGTCTTCATAGCCAGCCCCAAGCAAACCACAACATATTTTTCTTTCAAATTTTTCGCAAGTTAAAAAAATCTTCAGCGCATTGGGTAAGGTTGAAGACGTAAACAGATACTGATACGGAAATATCCCCTCCAAATTAATTTTTTAGTAACTTTTTATTAATATAACTAAATATTTACACACAACTAACAAAAAGGAAATAAAGATTTTAAAAATAAAATAGAATTCTTAAACAAAAAAGAAAATAATAAATTCATGCTAATTGAGACAAATAGGTATTTCTGAAGCTAACTGTAGAGAGCATCTAACACCATGAAATATTCAAATATTATGCTTAATAATTAATTCTCTTGATAAATCTGAATAACAATATATTTAGTTATATTTTGAACTAAAATGGAAGAAACTTTTTCAATTTAATAAAAAATTACTTAAGTATTTTTCTTCTTTAATATTGAATGATAGAAAATATTTAATACTTCCTCTCCTTTAGAAGTTTTCTACTAGATAGCATTTAAAATCCTACCATAGCCTTAGACTTCGAAAATTGTCACAAATACCAAATTGCCTGTATTATTTCATTAATTCATACAGTAAAGAAATATAAGGTTGTGCAACACTATGTATATTTAAGAAAAAATCTTAGAACAAACAACCTTATAAGGATTACATCTCAATTAAAAAAAATTTGATATTATCCATATTAAATCCTCCCATCAACCATACAAAAATATAACAATTACAATTGAACTATGTGTTTTCATGAGCAGAAGCAGCTTTCTCATTACACAGGGAAATTATATTATCTTTGTACAGTACTTATTTTCTTACCATAGTAACAAAAAAAGGAGAAAAAAAAGAATTTCTTTTAATTGAGCATCTTCTACTTTATGTTGTATTTTCTTAACAAATTTAATATACATATCTTTACAAACCAATACTTTTTAAACCCTCATATTTTAAAAAACAAACTTACACGAAAGCAGTCTAATGTGATTATATTCCATTAAATGTGCATATTACAATCCATTTATATAGTAAACACTATCTTATATCACTGTTTATAATTTTGCAATCCTAAAATGAAAGTAAATACGTGTTGTTTTAATAGATTTTATAAAAAGCTTAAAGGCTATTCAGGAAGATTATGCAACATCTTTATAAAACTCATAAAATATTTTCAGAAGAAATAAATATAAAAAAAGTAGAAACTCTTACCTTCAAAATAACTTTGATTTAAAAAACTTTTTTTCTTGTAAACTTCAGAAACTTGAAAAATCTGTATTTCAAATAAATTTTTACAGACAACTTTTTTACATCTCTTTAAGAAGACTAAATGGCAAGATGAAAATAAAAGACAACTGACTATGAAATCCACAACAGGATGGGAGTTGAATTTCAATAAATCATTTTTCATATATTCTTATGATATAAAGATAATAAAACAATGCATTATACATGTACAACAATTCAGTCAAATCTTCTTCAATAATACATTCTTCGAGATGAGCTATTGCTTGTAGAAGGTATTACACGCTCGTGCACTCTTCGGTCATGCTTCCAGTCTATTCTTGATGAATCTCTTTTGGTAGTGGAATGTCTTTCTCTGTCTGGGAAACTTGGCCTTGAATCTCGATCTGCTCGGTAAATGCTTCGATCATATACTTGCCTTTCATCACGGGAACGTATGGTTACTTCACGTCTGGAATCACGACTATCATAGCCAACTCTTGAAGCTGGCTCCACAGTTTTGGGGTTGAAACGTTCCGCTCTTCGTTCATATTCATGCTTTGGAACCACTGGTGCTCTCTCTTTGGTAGGATAGTCATACCGTGAATTAGTAGAGGGTTCAGCAGTAAAACTGGCACGAGCTTCATAACGTGGAGCTGGTTTCTTCCAAAACTGTTCAGTTTCTCTTTCATGCACACGAGCAATTGGTCTTTTTGAACTTCGTCTCAATTCAGACTGTCGTCTCAGCTCATCTCTTTCCCTCTCGAGTCTTTCACGTTCCAGTCTCTGCTTCTCTCTTTCTAATTTTAATATTTCTGCTTTTTCCCGCTCTAACATTTCTCTTTCAAGGCGTAGTTTTTCTTTTTCTCGTTCAAGTCTGTAAGCTTCCTCTCTTTGTTTCCTTTCAATAAATCGATGACGTGTTATTTCTTCTAACCTCCTCTTTTCAATTTCGCGCTCTGCACGTAATCTCAATCTTTCCTCCCTGATTTTCTGCAGAGAATATGCTGTGCTGCTAGATCTAGATAACCTATCACTAGAAAACCCACCTCTAACAGAATAAGGCCTCGGAGCAAAAGCTCTACGAGAGGCTCCAAAACCGGGTCTTTCGCTAAATGAAAAAGGCCGTTGCCTAAATGGAGGAGGCCTTCTAAATTGAGGTCTTCTTTTTAACCTATCCTCAACTTCCCGAGATTTGTATTCTTTACTTTTAGATTCCCGTGTTCTGCGATCTGTATCTCTTCCTTTAGATTTATCATTAATTTTTTTATCTTTTATCTTATCAGTAGATTCAACTGATTTTTTAACACTAGTTTTCGATTCTTGTTTACCAACTTTATGCTCAGATGAGGAACTAGACTTTGAAGTATCAACACTTTTTGAGCTTGAACTATCTTTTTTGGCTGGTTTTTTTGCACCGGAAGCTAACTTTGAACTAGGGCTAACCAATTTAGATTCTAATTTTTTTACTAAAACACTGGGATCGCTTTGGGCTTTTTCAACAGAAATAACATGCCCATTAAGCTCAACACGATGAAGATTTTGAATTGCCTTTGTGGCATCTTTGCTTGTTGCCATAGTAACAAATCCATACCATTTTCCAGGTGTTTGTTTAGCACTTTTAACTATTTTCACTGATAATACTTTACCCTGTTTACTAAATAATACTTTAAGATCTGCAGCTCTAGTAGTACATGGTAAACCTGTAATGCATAGACATTTGTTTAGTGTTGAAACATTTTTTGTATTACTACTTTTTCCTAAGACTTTAGAAGCTTTGGATAACACTGCTATACGGGAATCTGAACTTTTTGTTACTGGAGAAGCTTTTTTCTTCTTTTTAACTTCCTCAATTAATGGTTTCGCTGCTTTTGTAGGAGTGTTTTTTACGGGAGATGCTTTCTCAGTTACAGATATATCACATGAAACAATATCAATGGGTTTTTCAATATCTGATTTAATTTCAGACTCACTGTCGATAATTTTTGAAATATCTAAAATGTTTTCTTCATCATTTAACTGAGCATCCTCTTCATCAATAGACAGTTGCAATGTTACTTCATTCGAGCATTTATCGTCATTATCAATATTCATTTCGATAAATTCATCTCCAATAACATCTAATACTTCATCTTTAATATCAAGTTCTATCCCATCATTCATGTCTTCTTTAATGTGAACTTCACCATTAACTTCTGTGTTACTTAATTTATTCTTCTTAATTGCAATTTGTTTATTTGAGCTTTCCCCCACAGTATGGAAAGTAAAAATTTCAGGATCTTCTCCCTCTTCTATTAACGCGTTTTTTAATCTTTCAAAAAGGACGGATTTGACTCCAGTTTTATCAAGACTACGTTTTTCCAACTGCACTTTCAAATCTTGAACTTTCAGATCTGGAAGTTTAACTCTATTTTCCGAATTCAGTGTTTTGTTCTCCTCAGTTGAACTCTCACAATTTTCTATTTTTACAGAAGAAGAAGCCATTCTGATAAAAGAATCAATGAAAATTTATGTAAACAACCTTTATATTCACTATAATGTACGAATTTAAATCCAAACTTTAAATTCTTGAAGAGCGCAAACATTTAGATTTTTCTGACGTTACGTTTTCTCTTCACTTCTTCATGTCACGCCTTTTAAACTATAATTTTTTTCATCATATATAATTATGATGCGAAGCGGGAAACTATTTTTAAGCATTTTATGACCATAAAAAAATATTTTTGTTGTCAAAAAGTAGAAATTAAATTTTGTATCCAAAAAGTAGAAATCTTGGCCACCAAGGGTGCGGGAACTAGTGTCACCAGTGTGAAAAGATTGGAACGAGCCCGTGCGTCTTGCATGGGATTCACATGCGCCATTTTTCTAAACAATCATATTTACAATACCGGTAAAGTCGTGATAAATTTATTGATTAATAATGAGTTTAAAAATAACAGATTTAAAAGTTGCCGACTTGAGAGCTGAATTGGATAAAAGAGGATTAGACAAATCAGGTGTTAAATCTGTTTTGATTGAAAGGTTACGAAATGCTCTTAAAGAAGAGGGTATTGATGCTGACGAGCATGAATTTAAAAGCACAAAACGTAAAAGCGATGTTGCTAGTTCTGAAGCTGGAGATGACGAAGAAATGGATACTTCTGAAAATTTAAAAGATATTGCACAGAAGGTAGACAATGAAGATGAAGACACGCCTTGTAGTGATGAGGAAGAAATGGATGATTATAAACATCAAGAAGACACTGAAAGTGCCCGATTTAAAACGACTGCTCAATCTCGTCAAGACACAATAAAAGAAGATGAAACTATATCTAACGCTGCAAATTCGGAATTATCGAAAGATAATAATGTTACAGAAGTCGAAAAAGACACTTCGCAAAATGAAAATGAAGCAATGGAAACGTCAGAAACAAACGATGCTAAAGCTGGAAAAAAAGTATTGAAAGTGATTGGTAAAGATAAAGTTCAACAATTCGCTGTCACAGCTAGAACCCTTTGGGTAGCTGGCTTAACTAGTACCTCAAAAGCATCAGATCTAAAGAATTTATTTAGTAAACATGGTAAAGTTTCCTCTGTTAAAATTGTGAGGAACACCAAAGGCACACAGAGGAAGTGGTTTGGGTTATTGACTATGGCTACTAGTAAAGATGCATCGAAATGTATCGAGAAGCTGCACAGAACTGAATTCGGTGGTCATGTAATTTCAGTTGAACGTCGGCAAACTGCTCCAATTGTTAAAAAATCTGAGGCAGCTGTGGTTAAAAAACCTACTCCAAAAAATGATGTAAAGGAATCAGTCACTGCCAAGACCGATAAAGATGTTAAAAAGCCATCTGAAGAAAAGCGTAAAGAACCATCAGCTGATGGAGAAGATAAATCTAAGAGTGACGACGAGCGAGGCTCCCCCGATAGAGGCTATCGAGGTTATGAAAGTAGACCATATTTGGGAAGAGGTCGTTTTCGAGGAGGCTTTCGGGGCAGACCCTTTGGTGGCTTTCGAGGGCGCGGCATGTCATTTAGAGGCAGGGGTAGGTTTAGCGGTTTCCGAAGACCGTTTGGTAGGCCTTCACCATTCGATAGACCTAATTTCCGTTCTATGTCTTCCCGAGCGAGGTATAGATATGATTTTGATGAAGGTAGAGGAGGTAGGGATTATGAGAGGGAGATGAGAATGAAACAAGAAGAGGAAATGTTCAGGCATAAAATCATTGTTCGTAAACAAAAAGAGGAAGCCTATCGGCTAGAAAGGGAGAAAAACCAGCTGAGAATAGAAAGAGAAATGCTTGAAAGGGAAAAGGCTGAAATGTTAAAATTAGAAAGAGCAAAGCAGCGTATGGAAAGAGAACAGTTGGAAATGGAACGGGAAAAATTGCGTCGCCAAAGCCAAATGAGTAGTTCTGGGAAAAGACCGTTTAATCGTAGAGGTGGTGGCCCTCCTCATGCATGGGCCGAAAAAAGAAGAGAATCTGAGTATGAAGGCCCATCTCCTAACTTCCGTGAAAAGTTTTCTAGTGAAGGTAAATTTCCATACAGTCGGGAACATTCATCGTATAAAAAACCAGAATACATGCACGATGAATTTAGGCGGGAGAAGATGGAAGCATCGTCTCATCCTAAATTCGCTGAGCGTGATGAACGACGAGAGGTCACTTATCACGGTGGCCCTGAGCGGCGTGTATATTCTCGAAGTGAATTCAGGGGACCTGGGCCAAGTTCTTCCCCACCAATGAAGCATTATACCCCTAGAAGTAAGCCTCCTAGAGAAGAATGGAAATTTCATGAAAGAAGAGGTGGTGAAAAACCTGGTTATCCACCTAGGGGTCGGAAAATGGGATATTATTGAATCCATTTGAAAACTTGAATCATGTTCATTGCTATTATATGCAGTTATAAAAAATCTAATCATATAACATTAATTCAAAACAGTGTATCAGAAATTATAAAAGCATTATTTGGTTTAGAAGTGATTAATTTGTGAAGCCTAATTTCAAAAGGTCAAATATACATCTTCAATTTTTGTGTTTGTAAATTTTTAGGATTTCTTGCAGTATGATAAGAATGTTTTTATTTTTCATGTTGAAAAATATACTCATTACTTAATTTTTATTCCGTAGTAGTTTTAATTGCTAGTTATTCAAAGAATTTTATCAGAATGACTTAGATACTGAACTGAAAGAAGCAAACAACAAATACATATTACTGTTGCTTTACAAATCTGTGTATCAGAAGATGTGAAATGTCTGTGTATTGTGAAATTAAATGCTTTGAAACTAATAAAAAAAGAATTCACAAATGTTGAGTTTTATGATTCCAATAATTCGTTCAAAGATATTCATTTATTGAGAATATTGAAGACAAGCAATCTTATTAGGTTCAGAGATGCAATAAAGAATTCAATAATTTAATTAGATTTACATTAAAATAGTATATTGGTTTTAAAAAATGGCGTTCCTTAAAAAAGTTGTGGAAAAAAATTTTGATTCTTTCAATTTGTGAATTGACAATAGCAATAATGAAGATGCTGAGCCTCTGTAATATGATTTATTGATTTCTAATGTTTGTTAATTGAAAGAATATCAATATGGTAACGATTTGAAGATTTAACAATGATGTATTAATTATTTCCAGGTAAGTGGGTTAAACAAAACATCGATGAAAATATCCATGTTTCATTATGCTAAGGTTCCACATATGTGCACGTTCTAAAATGCCTTGCAACAAATATTGAGAAAAAAATCAGGGTTTTAAAAAAATGAATAAATGCTATGCTACATGTTTATAAAATGATGGAATTATATATTGGGATTTCCTTGTAGTAATATTTTGCAATGGTGAAAATATTTTTCATTTTATTAGAGTTTCACAGCTTGGTTATTTAAAAATTGCTCTATGACATATTAGCAAAAATGATGAATATAATCCTCAGTTTTATTTATATTTGAAAAATGAGTTTCTGCAAAAGAAATAAATGTTACACAACTTAGTTTTTTGTAAAAAAAAGATCTAACGAAAAGTTTTAATTTTATTGGGGCGGTGAAACGTATCAAGTGAGAAATTTTATTGCAATACAGAATTTCTTCTCTAGCTGAAATATACCAAATTATAAAATGCATAATATGAAGTATTACTCCTAATCTTGGTAATGACTTGTTCAAGAATAGTGGTAAGACATATTTCATATGTGATAAATATACCACACTGTTTTCAAGAAGAGCATTAGTACAGGGAAAAAAATGAATTAATATGCTCATCTTAGAGAATGTTGATTTTATAAAGCTTTCCTTAAACGTAGTCTACTTATAAGTTATTGCGAAGATGTATGAATTTGAAAGGCTGGTTTTTATTAATTGTATACTTAATGATGGGAAGATGGTTAAAAAGTAGAATTATATATTCATAAAGTTGAAGAAGTATGTTAGTATTTAAACAAAACCGCTAAATATAATGAGGCAGTGTTGAAGTTGAAAAATATAATAATGCATTGTATCAAAATATAAGGGCTTCATTTTACATCTGAGAATTTGATATTTACATCTTCAATTTAGTTAAATTCTTTAATATTCAACTTAACTTCTAGGGTGATAATGGTTTGTATGTTTTTAATACTTCTTAATCGAGACTTTCTTTCAGCATGAATTTGATTTTTGCTTGTTGCATATATATTTATTATTTTATCTATTTAATTAAAATTGAAATCATTGTTTTTACTCTTAAGCTGAGTTCAAATAAAGTTGAGAAAGTACAAAAAGAAAATGTTGGAATAATACGTGAATTATGGGAATTTAGGTACGAGTCAACCTTTTTCACCAGTAACTTTGTACTGTTAAGAAAGATGCAACTACCGAATTATTTAGAGTTTTATCATTTTACACAAAAGCAGCCAACTTAAATGGTATCTGTTTTTCTTAACCGTTTTTTTTTTTTTATAACTTCCACTTATTATCAATCAGGGCTTATTAATTTTATATATGCTTATTCCTGCGGCTGTGGCTATGCTTCAATGTTGCCCCCACAGTCAAAAGGGCTCCTAAATGAGGGAGGGGGATTTTAAATTCTGATGATTTAAGATCTATTTTTTCTTAACTTTTTCTTTAAAGTTAAAAGAAAAATGTTGAGTATGCTTTGTTAAAAAGAATGTCATAAGTTTAGATCCCTCTTTCCTTGAAATAGAAAAGAATTCTTTCTTCCCCAGGAGACGCTGAGCAGAGAAGGGTCAAAGGTTTTCATTTGATTGTATATATTACTTCAGCCTGTTGTAGTTGTTTCATCAATGATCTAGACAAGGGGTGGTGAATCTTGATCAATGTGCAATTTTTTCGATAAAAAAAAAGTTTAATGAATTCATAGATGTGCCATCATCAAATAATTTTGACTTCGTGATTATTGGGAAAATAATACTATCAAAATATATTTTGCAATGTCTCAGTTATACACTTATTTCAAATTAAAGCAACATTAGTGTGGCTTCTGTTGCTGGTAAGATGACAAATAACTAGAATGGTAAGATATTATTTTAAGCAAAATGCATGCTGAACTAGAGTTGTCTGTCAAACGGTTTCTTGGGTAGATGAAAATATGGTTATAATAGCACTGACCAGCTTCTTTAAACAGTTAAATGTGTCTCACAACAAATTCCGTGCTTCCAAAATGTTGTTGGCATTTTTACTTATAGTGCTTGTCAACCTTTCTGTTTCTATTAATTTCAACTCTTACTTTAATTCAATGAAGTTTTGAATCCATATTGAACTATACTGGAAATCAATCAGCTGCATTTCAATTTCCAACCAATTCAATTGGGAAAAGTTCAATTTATCAAATGAAATGATCAGGGTACATAATAAACTTGAATGTTTCAGATATTTCTAAGAACTGAGAAAAATCTCTAAAAATTCATTGATTGAAGAATCAATTACAGAAAAAAAATTTTCAATTGTTTCTTCGCCTGGTTTCTCATTTATATCTAAATCTTTAATATTTTTTTCAAGTGTGGAAAATACTCGTAGTTTCTTGTAATAATATCGTTCCTGAAAACATGCAGTTCAGCGTCAAAAGCGCGAGTGAGATCTATTAGGACGATAATTGTTTCATTTGTACCTAGAAGCTTTACTTTAAATTCATTGAAACATTGGCATATGTCTGTAAGAAAAATATTTTTTGAAAGCCAACAACAGTCGGTATTGTTCAATTTTTCCCTCATTTTGCAGAAACATTTTGATTTTTTCCAAGCAATCAACAAATCTTAGAAATGTACCAGTAAGGCATCATACACAGAGTTGACTTTATCCAACAAAGCATAAAACTTGCTCTTATTTAAAGCCTGCGATGAAATGAGGTTGACTGTTTTTCTGACTACTTATCAAGAGATGTTAAACCACTCTTAGCACACAAGACTTATTGATAAATGATGCTGTGGAATTCAAGAATCTGATGTCCTACTTCTGTTTGAAATAAACTTAAACATTTTTTTTTTTGTCCGCCATACTTGGAGCACCATCAGTTGTTCTTGGGGGAAAAAAATTTCGAATCAATTTTTTTCTCAGCAAGCGAATTTTTAAAAGCTGTACAAATATTTGTGACATTTATAGTTGTTAACAATGCTATTGCAATTAAATCTTCTTTAATGGTGTTTCCTACGCGATATCGAGCAAAAACAGCTTAACATGCAAATTTTGTGTGAGACAGCAATATAAATGGAGGGAGTTAGTTTCAATTTTCGTTGATCTGCTACATTTCTGGCTTGTTTTAAGATTATTTCTTTTATTGTGTTTGTACATAGAGGAGTATCTTTGATGCTCTGAATTACCTTTATTATCGAAATCATCAAAAAGTGAGGGCGTGCATGCTAACCGAGCGAACGATTTTTGCCAACATATTAGACATTGACTGTTTATTCCTGCTGTTAATATCGATTATGGGGTTTTCTTTTTCAAAAAACATGACAGTTTTGAATATATTATCAATTTTTAATTTAAATATACCAGCGATTTTGTTTACACAGTATAAGTCATAACTTAAAATTGTCAAAGAGACTCCAATAATATGCAATTCTCCGTTAATTGTGTATATGAAAGGTGGTAAGTTATTTGATATTTAAATATTGTTTAACTGGCAGATAATGTATAAAGCAGCTTGAACTCAAGGTTGGGTTTTTGGCATTAAAAAATGGACGAATCAAAAACCTGAAGGGGAAAAAAAAATTGTCATTGGAGACATTTTATTGGATTGTAAATGATACTCAATACTTGCATGATATACTACTGTAATTATGATTTATATTATATACATAATATATGAAAAATATAGCCAAGATTGTTGTAACTATTAATCTCTCAATACTTTAATATAAATATCATTTGGTATTTTAAAACTATTCCGTTTATATTACAGGTAATAGTTATTAATTATTAGGAATCTAAATATTTGTATTAATTCTTTAATGCCACAATTTAAGCAGATTTTTTTAGATTTAAGTAAAGCGAAAGTAATTGTCAATAATTGCCTGATTTCTACTTGTATAATTTTTTTGGTTATTAATTATTGTGGCTTTCACTTACATGCAGGGAAACAGAATGGTTCTCGCATGAAAGATGCTTTGGGGGAAATTCAGGCAGCCCTGAAAAAATTCCAACAAAAATATTTTATTGTTAGAAAATGTCACTTTGCAAAATTCTTCCTTATAAAAAAAAATTTCAATTTGTGTTTTTATTAGTTACAGGGTTGGCAAGTTTTTGACACATGACGGTTTTTACCGGTTTATACCATGGTTTNTCTAACTTCTAATATAAATTGCTGATTTGAAATCTAATAATATCACACAATAGTTTTTCTTAATAAAGTAAGGTAAAGGGTAATAATAAAGTTTTGATTAAGAAGGTAAAAATCCAAGTTGGTGTTAATTTATTTTTTCTCTTCATTTATTCTCACTTCTGCCTGTTCCTGAATTATGCACTTAATTTCTGATAGGTAATATGTAAAGTTGAAATTTCATTTTTACCCTTTAGAGATTTCATTCTTGACTTAATAAATTTCAGAGCTTTATTTTATGGCTTGCAATTATTTATGATATGTGTGGATGGATTGTAATAATCTTCTGTTATGTAATAAACTACCGTGTGATCTGTTTTTATCCTAGCAAAATCATATATTACCCCTAAAATTTTAAAAAACTTTGCTGCTACCCCTGTGTATATGAAAGGTGGTAAGTTATTTGATATTTAAATATTGTTTAGCTGGCAGATAATGTATAAAGCAGCTTGAACGCAAGGTTGGGTTTTTGGCATCAAAAAATGGACA